AACAAGAGCAAGCTTCAGAAACTCTGAAGAAACTCTGATGGGACTTGTGTCTCTGATTGAACCTTCTTCTATTGATGAAGCACTTCTGGACAATGACTGGATTCTGGCACAATCAATCAAAAAGTTTGATTCTTGTTCATCAAGATTGGTTTAAATCATCTCCAAGATTGGGGTTTAATTTCAACATATGATATCTAAAGCACTGGCTGTGTGATTCTTGGGAAGCATAACGCGATGGACCATCCGGACGGGCATTTTCCTGCATGTCTTCCAATCCTGAAAGATAAGAATTACGAAAATTGGTATAAGCAGAAGAAGATCGTTTTATGCTATCAAGATCTTTTGGATCGTGTGAAGGAAGAAGTAACACCAATTGGAGAAAACGCTACGGATGAACAAAAGGCTGCACATAAAGATTTGAACAAGAAAGGTTATAAATCTCTCTTTATAATTCATAAATGTGTGGATCCATATAACTTTGAAAGGTTGGGTGATGTCGAATCACCAAAAGAAGCATGGGATATTCTAGAGAAATCGTTTGAAGGTGCAAAGAAGGTGAAAGAGGCGAGGTTACAAACTCACAAAAGAACGTATGAATTGCTTCATATGGAAGAAAGTGAAAACATAACCGATTTATTCATTAGGGTTACGAAACTGATGATTCAAGATCAATTGTCGCAAATATGTTGAGGTTATTGGCTCCAAAATTTGATCACGCGGTAGTAGCCATAGAAGAATCGAAAGATTTGTCAACTCTTACAAAGGAAGAGCTTCAAGGGACGGTTGAATCTCATGAACAGAGAGTGGTTGAAAGATATGCAAGTAAGTTGAAAAGCTATGTAGCTCTGCAAGCACAATCAACAAAAGAAAAGAAAGGCAAAAGAAGGTGGTTCAACATCAAAGGTAGAGGAGGCTACAACAATTCGACTAGTAGAGGAAACCAACAAGAGGGGAACTCGTAGAATCAGAGGAGATCTTCAAACCAGAGCAACCACATATGTGGTGGTGCAGGTAGAGGAAGAGGTGGTGGAAGAAAATCCAACAAGAGTCACATTCAATGTTACAATTGTTAGAAGTATGGTCATTATTCAATTGATTATTCTGAAAAATAAAAGAATCAAGACATTGATGCAAGGCTTGCAAAACATGAAGAAGAAGAAGAGACATTGTTGATGGTCACAATGAGAGATGAAGAAAGATTCAAGGACCATATGTACTTAGACTCAAGATGCTCATTACACATTGCTGGTAGAAAAGATTGGTTTCTTAGCTTAAGTCCATCAATGAAGAACAAGGTGAAATTCACAAATGATAATACCATAGAAGCTGAAGGTGTTGGTGATGTTCTTGTTATTAGGAAAGATGGTAAAATGTCAATGATTTCCAATGTATGGTATATACAATGCATGAAAAGAAATTTTCTCATCAGAAGACAATTAATCGAGAATAATTATAAAGTGTCGATCGAAGATAAGATGATGAGAGTTCTAGACTCAATAGGATGATTAATATTGAAGGAGCCAATGTCTCAGAACAGAACCTTTAAGATTGAACTTAATGTGATAGAGAACAAGTGTCTGACAACTACAACTAGCACAAATGAATGGCTATGGAACTACATACTTGGCCATCTCAACTTCAATGACATCAAAAATCTGAAAAGAGGAAATATGATTTCAGGGTTACCAAAAATCTATATTCCAAATGAAGTGTGTGAAGAATGTGTGATGGTAGAGAAACACAAGAATAACTTCAGCAAGGATGTAGGAAGCAAGTCGAAGGAAATTCTTGAAGTCATATATTCTGATGTGCATGGTCCTATCCAGGAGGATTTGATTGGAGGTAACAAATACTTTGTCATATTCATAGATTATTTTAGTCGAAAACTGTAGACTTACCTGATCAAGAAAAAGTGAAGTGATCGAGGTATTTGTCAAGCTTAAATCTATGGTTGAGAGACAAAGTGGTCAAAAGCTCAAGAATCAGAGGACTGGTGCTGGTAGAGAATATGTGTCGAAAGATTTTGATGCATTGTATGAAAAAGAAGGGATTGTACATGAGGTGGTGTCACCCTACACTCCACACCAAAAGGGAACTGCATAAAGGAATAATAGAACCATCATGAATATGGTGAGAAATATGTTGAAAGGAAATAATATACCTAAAGAATTATGGGATGAGGCTATGTCGATTGCAACATACATCCTGAACAAATGTCCGATAAAAAAGCAAGAAGGAATTACACTAGTGGAATATTGGTCTAGTGTTAAGCCTAGCTTAAGTTATCTAAAGGTATTTGGATTTATAGCACATAGACACGTGCTTGATCAATTGAGAAGAAAACTTGATTACAAGTCGAGTCAAATGATCCTAATAGGATATCATTTGACAGGTGGATACAAATTATTCGACCCAATGAACAAGCAAGTTGTGATAAGCAGTTACATGATTATAGATGAGCTTTAGGAATGAGATTGGACTAAAAATGTCAAGAAGGATTTAGTAAGAATCTTGTGTGAATAACCAACTAGTGAAGTCGAAAGAGAAGTTTGATAAAAAGAAGTTAGAGGTCAAGCTGGCACAAGCAGACCTCAAAGAGTAAGAAACATGCCTGCAAGGTTGCAGGAATGTCTGATTACATAAGATGATACAGTAGATAATGAAGGTAAGTTGGTACATTATGCTTTCTATGAAGATACTGAGCCAATCGATGTAACTGAGGCATTGAAGGACTCAAAGTGGATGAAAGCGATGAACAGAGAACTGAAGTCCATCGAAGTTAACAGTACTTGATCACCAGTCAAATTACCACAAGGCAAGAAGGTAATTGATGTGAAATTGGTATACAAGGTGAAGTTAAATCCCAAATGAGAAGTAACTCGACACAAGGAAAGAGTTGTAACAAAAGGATTTATTCAGAAAGAAGGAATCAACTTCGATGAAGTTTTTGCAGCAATTGCTAAGATTGAAACAATCATGTTGGTTGTTGGTCTAGAAAATATGAGCAACTGTTATATGTGTCAAATGGGCGTGAAATGTGTATTTCTAAATGGACCATTTAATGAAGAAATTTATGTTGCACAACCAGTTGAATTTGTGAAATAAGGCCAAGAAAGCAAGGTATACCGGCTGCATAAATCCCTGTATGGACTTAAACAAGCTCCAAGAGCTTGTAATAAGAAGATAGATAGTTTCCTAAGAGAGGAGGAATTTGTGACGTGCACAAGTGAGCATATAGTGTACATTAGAACAAGCAGAAGTGAACTACTTATATTGTGTCTCTATGTCGATGACTTATTAATAACAGGTAGCTCCAAGAAGGAGATCGAAGACTTCAAAGGTGATCTTAACAAGGAGTTCGAAATGTCGAATCTGAGAAACATTTCATACTTCCTTGGTATCAAATTCTACAAAAGTAGTAGAACCCTGATAATGCATAAAAGAAGATATGCAAGTGAAATACTCAAAATATTTGAGATGGAATACTGCAATGCAACTTCGACACCTGTTGAACCAAGACAGCAACTGTCAAAAGACTCAGATGATATTGATCTAACACAGTACATAAGACTTATTGGATTATTAAGACACCTCTGTCACACTAGGCATGATATAGCATACAATGTAGGTATGATGAGTAGATTCATGCAGAGGCCAAACGTATCTCATGTCATAACTACGAAGATGATACTAAGGTATCTCAAAGGAACTCTTGACTATGGAATGTTTTTTCTTGTAGTTGATGAAGGAAAAGAATGCAAGCTAGTGGATTACACCGACTCGAGTTAGTGTAGTAATGCTAAGGATAGAAAATCCATAACTGGTTATGTGTTTATACTAGATGGTGCACAAGTTACTTGGAGCTCAAGAAAATAACCAGTAGTAGCATTGAAGAAGAGTACATAGTTACTTCTCTCTATGCATGTCAAGCATCATGGATGGAGAATTTGGTCGAAGAAATTACAGGGAAGAATCATGGAGCTATTACCCTGAAGATCGATAACATGTTTGCTATCAATCTAGCGAAGAATCTGATAGCACATAGAAGAAGCAAACACATCGAGATGAGGTTCCATTATCTTCGAGAGCAAGTAGCAAGTGGTAAGTCGAGCTTGGAACATTGCAGAATTGATAATCAGATTGTAGACATTATGACGAAGGGTGTGCAGGTCGAACTGTTCAAGAAATTGAGAACTATGATGAATGCATATAGTTTAGACACAATAAATTAGGTGGTGTGTCCAAAGTGTAATTCTTTGTTTCGAAGCAGGAATTCGACAAAGTCTGTATTAACTGTATTCGACAAAGAATCGAATACGACAAGTAGTTGTTGAAATGCATGTAGTAGTCGAAATGTGTAGTTGTCGAAGAAGTCAACCTTGACAGATTTAAACTTAGCATTTTTATATGTTTTAGCTGAGTTAGTTAGTTAGAGTTTTCTTGGTGAACAAGCAAACCGAGCTATAAATAGGAAAGTATCCTATCATTGTAATGTGTGAAGAAAAGTTGAATAAAGTTCCAGTTTGAATGTAAAGAGAAACTCTGCAGAATCAATTTCTTGTTCCCCTCTTCTCTGAAACTTTAATTTCTCTTTTCTTCTCCAATTCATCTTTTCTTTCTTTTTAAATTTCTGTGCAGCATAAATCATCCTGCAACCAATGTGTGGTTGATTCACTCGAGTGAAGAGTGAAAAACAAGAGTCACAATCAATCAGAATGAATGATTCTTATTCATCAAAATTAATTCAAATTAGCTCTAAGATTAGAGTTTAATTCCAACAATTTTGACTCAATTCTCACTCTTAGGGTGACTTATCTAAGAGTTTTCTGAATTTTCTTTTTTGTTGTTGTTGTTTTTACTTGGATGATTTTTAATTTGTGTACTAATACTAGAATAACTTAGTATTTATGACTCCCGATGATTGTAATTATTTTAATGTTAAAAAGATACTTTTAATGAAATAAGAGTAATAATTAGTTAAAGACAATGTGAGGCCTTACCTATGTATATAGGTAATGACATAAAATTACGTGAAATCCATCCTGCAAGAACATACACAAATTGTGGTTAATAAACAAATTCGTCAAATTCGGATTTTATTTAATATAGTAGTGAGCATAAAAAAAGATTGAATATCTCTAATACCTAACTAGGGTATTTATAGGAACTGAATTTTAAACAAGAGAAAAATCAAATAATCCAAAATAAAAAATAGAGTATCAAAATTGCACAGTTGCAATTCACACGAGATAAAATAATTGTATTATATCCGCAAATAAAATATAAGAAAAGAATTAATATTTTTTCAACCAGTGCAAACTAAATGTCTCTTTATCTAGTTTAGTGATTATGGCAAAAAATTTCATCTATATTTGTAGTATATTTGAAACAATGTTTTAAAAGTCAAATTATCGGATTCATCAAATTATTGAATTATTAGATTATCGGCCGAATTAGTAGATTATTAATTAGATGGTATGATTTTCAATAATGTGAAAATATAATTTTATTTTTCTTTGATAATAAGATTTTTTTTTTCAAATTTTTTGTTAATTTTCCAACTTTTTAATTTATTATATTATCTTATTGTATGATTAATAATAAATAAGTTTAATGAGAATTGCATTAGAGAGAAATATTATAATTATAGAATATATAACTCTATTCTCTATCATCAAATTAAACATCAAAAGAAATTTATGATATAATTGATAAAACAACACTCTTAATAATTTTGAAAGGTTATAGGTCTGATTCTTGAAATTTTACAAAATTTTATTTTTATAATTTTAATATTATCTAGTTGTTATAAATAATTAACATGATTATAAATATTAATAAAATTGAATTTAAAAATGAGGCACAAAAACTTGAGAAAAATGAAAAATAGAAAGATCAAAATTATAATTAGGTTACAAAATAAACATAGAAAGATCAATCATCTGGTTCAAGAAATCAACTGTTCATTGGTCTGACTAGTGAATTGATCGAATCACATCAATTTTTACCGAATCAATTACAACTATAATTCAATAACTTTATTAATCCGCTCTACCTTCTAGTTCAAAGTTTAACCGGTCCGACTAAAAAGAACGGTCCAGATTTTAAAACACTAATTTGAAACGGCTATAATAAATAATAAATAAAATTATAATTTTAAAAACAAAATAAATAAAAACAATATTTATAAAAAATATAATTATATTCAAATATAGGTCTCATCAAAGTCTTATTATGGTGGATTCCAAATTCAACTATATATCTATTAATAAAACATACATGCAAACTACTTAAAAATGTCATTTATTCTAAAATTGTTTACATTTGGAAAGGATAAATTAGTAAAAAAAATTTAACTCCTTGATTAATTCACTTTATTTCAATTAAATGTTGTCAAGTGTCAAGTTCTCACTTGACACTTTTTCAGCTTTTATTTTTTTCTTCGCTTCACATTCTTTTATTCACCATTTCATTTTTTTTGAAATTAAATTTATTTTTTTTAATATTTTTTTCTCTTTTAATTTTATTATTCTATCTTTTATACCCTTCTTATAATTATTAATTTATTTTTATTTTTTAAATCTATCAACAGTACAAATGTAGAAGCATAAAAACAAATAAAGAAGTAGAAAAATAAATAAAAGAACACGGATGAATATATTGGTGGAGTCAGAAAAATTATGAAGTTTGATCAAAATTTTAAAAACCACAAAATAAAAGATGAGGATGACTTTGTTCCTACAACCTTCCCGAGTTCGAGCAGCATAATATATATATATATATATATATATATATATATATATATATATATAGTGTGATTATTATACTAAATATTTATTGGTGTACAAATATATATAATATTGCGTTTATTAAATCCAGTCAATCACTATTAGACTAATTAACAATTGATGATACAATTGTTATTTTTAAATATCAATTTTTTTTTATCTCTATTTTATAAATATTTTTTTATAATTCTTTTTTTATCTCTATTTTATAAGTATTTTTTTATAATTATTTAATACAATTAAATTTATATTATTATTAATTATTTTACAATCAAATAATCTATTTTAACCTTATAAGAAAAAAAAAAGATAAGATGCGTTCAACTTTGAAAAAGGTGGGGTATTTTTGAGCAACTTACTGGCTGGTAGACAGATGACGTATGCACCTACTCCATCTTTACAAAGACTGTTGAGCCAAGAAAGTTCAAATCCATAAAGCATCATACGGCGGATGTCCGTGCAAGAAATGTTGTTGTTGTTTCGATCTTGCAAATCCCAAGAAGAGGGATACATAAACTCTATACGACACCCGTCTCCCAACCCCAATTCTGAAATAGTTTTTCTATAAACACCAATATAGAAAGGATTCCCGTACTCTGTGTATGAACTAATATTCATACAGTTACCAATATACGAATATTCCATCCGATTTGGACAGCTCACAAATAACATTGATTTTGTCAATGCATAATCAGTCTCATTTTTGTATTGATAATAGTCAAGGTAGGGAAAGATGTCATAACTGAAATCATAGAGTCCTAATGAATAATCAGGTGAGAGAGAATAATTAGAGTAAAGAAGATTGAAATCCAATAGTCGGATAGTGAAGTTGTCGTAGTTAATTGATTGTACATAGTATTTTCCATATGATATATCATACAAAATCAATTGCTTGTTGTCTTCACATGATAGGTTGTATCTTTTGTCGCCGCAGTTTTCTGGACTGTCTTTCAATCGGAAAGGGTATGTGATGTAATGAACACCGCACCTTCGAGAACATGACTCTTGTTGTTGTTGTTCATAACCACCATACACTTTGTTGTAAGGAAGTATTATTAGTATTAGGAACACTATCCCCATAACCAGGGTTAAGGATGCCATTTTTGATTTTCTGATAGCAAATAGAAAACACTCACAATTTAATTAATGGATGAGAAGCTTACATATAAATTAAAAAAGATAGCACATTTTACGTCTAAGAAGTAACGAGGAAACAGCTAACATTTGACTCGGTATAAGACGACTTACTTTTAAAGTCTTGTTTCGGATGAATGTTTATTAATTATTGGAACAAATAGGAGCTGCTTGCACCACATATATGTTACACTATAAAAAAATATACTCTCCATCGACGTGATTTAGTGAAGTAATTATCATATTATTAAAATTTAGTGGTTGCAATGTGATAATTACGTCATTAAATTATTTTATAAATTAAATAATAAAAATAACGTAATGTGTTAGTCTATATTTTTTTTTATATTGCGATGTGGGAAACACGTCATAACATAAAAAATTGAATAAAAAAATATTAAAGGTGCAAGCGTTTTGAAGAGGGAAGTTTAAATATTTCAAAAAAAATTATTGTGGCGTGGTAAACACGTCGCAACTAATTTAGAGGAAAAAAACTCTGTCTTTGACAAGATGTTATTCTGAAACGTGCAGGTTGAGTGTAAAAATATAACCGTTGGAGGAGTTGCGACGTAAATATCACATGACAAGGCTGCGACATGATATTCACATTGTTGATTGGTTAATTTTAAAATTATAATGTTGAAGTTGCGACGCGAATATCACATGACAAGGTTGTGACATGATATTCACGTCGCTGATTGGCTAATAAACTTGCGCAATCCTCTTTCCAGAAACCATTGTGTTTCTTCATCCTCTTTCTTTTATTCTTTCTCTCTTCTGTTTTCTTCTTTCCCTCTTCTTTATTCTTCCATTCTTCCATAATCAAATCTCAATTCCACAGCAATTCCAATTTTCGTTTTAAATTAATTATATTTTATGATATATTGATTTTTTTCGTCAAGAAATTGAAGAGATTAAAAGAAAGATTCAACAAAAGATTGTACAAGAAGTTGGAGGAGTTTGAAGAATAGATATTTATGTTATTTAATTATATTTTGAATTTGTTATATATATATATATATATATATATATATATATATATATATATATATATATATATATATATATATATATATATATATATAGTTTTAAAATAGTTATAAAATTTAATTATAGTTACTATAGCTAAGTGTTTATTTATAGTTAATAAGAAGACAATGGTCGTATAAATGTGCAGTATGGAATATTATCGGTATGGTCGTAATTGGATGTACGATAGATTGTATTCAGGAAGACGTGCACTTAAACCCAATTTTATAAAAGGAGTTAATGAGTTTATCATGTGAGCATTTGCTCAGGAATATTATCGAAGTGAAGGAGGAGTTAGGTGTCCCTGTCTTAAATATGAATGTAGACCAATAATTAGTGACCCGGAAGAAGTAGCACGTCATTTGCATAGAAGGGGTTTCATTAAAAATTATTGGGTTTGGACGCATAATAGTGAAGAACTATTGAGTAACGTACCAAAGACTAGCAACACGCATGCTTCAATTAGTCGACCGCCTATGGAATATGAGGAAAACTTTAATCTGGTCGGTGAGATGGTTGAGGATGCTTTTGGGGAAGAGTTGTCGAATGAGGAAGCGTAGAGATTTTATCAGTTATTGAATGAGATGAATACACCATTATTCGAGGGGTCATCAGACTCAAAGTTATCAATGTGTGTGAGATTATTGGCCGATAAGTCAAATTGGAATGTTCCTGAATAGTGTTTGGAACATTTAGCAAAAATGATGTTGGATTCCACCGCAACAAAAGACAACTTTCCTACAAGTTTTTATGATTCAAAAAAGTGGGTGTCGAAGTTAGGTTTAAAAGTAAGAAAGATTGATTGTTGTATTAGTGGTTGCATGTTGTTTTATGACAACGAGTTTGGTACTCAAGATGGATTGTTGGAGGAATGCAAGTTTTGTAAGAGTCCAAGATATCAAGTTCGCAGTAAAGCCATTATCAGCAAGCAAAAGTGTGTAGCAGTAAAGTCCATGTTTTATCTTCCGATAATACCAAGGTTAAAAAGAATGTTTGCTTCAATGCACAGTGCAAGTCAAATGACATGGCATCATACAAACCAAACAAGTTCAGGCACTATGTAACATCCATCTGATGGCGAGGCATGGAAGCACTTTGATCCGACACATCCTAATTTTGCTGCAGAACCTAGAAATGTCAGGCTTGAATTATGCTCTGATGGTTTTGCCCCATATATGCAAGCATCGGGAAGTGCGTATTCTTGTTGGGCATTTATTGTAACTCCTTACAACCTCTCTCCTAAGATGTGCATGACAAAACCATACATGTTTTTGACGTGCGTCATTCCAGGGTCTTCCAGTCCAAAAGCAGGAATCGATGTGTACTTACAATCTTTAATTGATGATTTGAAGAGGTTGTGGATTGGAGAATGGACTTATGATATATCCTGTAAACAAAACTTTAATTTACGAGCTGCCTTGATGTGGACCATTAATGACTTTCCAGCATATGGCATGTTATCTGGTTGGGGTACGCATGGTAAAATGGGTTGTCCGCATTGCATGGCATACACCAAAGCGTTTACGTTGGATAAAGTGGGGAAAAGCTCGTGGTTTGACTGTCACCGCAGATTCCTACCAACAAATCATCCCTATAGAAGAAACAAGACAAAATTTAAAAAAGATGAATGAGTATCAGATCTGCCTCCGCCTTGATTGTCACCAGGTGATATATGGAACCAAGTTTGTGAACGAGAGAAGTCAATTCACCTTATCAGTCTTTGGGCGTCCAGGTCGTCCCTCTGGAAAGAAGAGTGTGCATTGGTTGACACAAAAAGAAATACAATTCACACATGTCCATGTCTTGATCAATTGCGTTGAATTTAAACCATATCTTGAGTAAGTATACCCCAACTGTTTAATTTTCTTTGCAGTGTTAATATAAAACTTATTATCTTGAAACTTATAGTGTTTTTTTAGGGAATTTAACATCGCCTATTTTCATAGTGTCGGTGTACAATCAACATCTGGTGTCATTCATGCTCAATTTCCAGCATGGTTTAAGGAGAGATTGTCTAGCATTGTTGCATTGACTCCAAAAATACTCCATTTGAGAAACTTGTCTAAAGGCCCTGTTCAAAGCACAAATGAATGGCACACATACTTCGTGAACGGATATAAATTTCACACTGAGATATGGACTGAAGGGAAAAAACTATAAACAGTGGTATATTTGTAAAAGGAGTTACATATGGCGGTGAAAATGACTTCCATGGCTTTGTTAAACATATCTACGAGTTGGTATACAATTACTTGGACTCGGAAAATAAAGGTGTCTTGTTTTATTGTGAATGGTATGATCCAACTAGAGGCACAAAAATAGATAAGTCATATGGTACTGTTGAGATTCAAATGGATCAGAGGTACAAAGAGTATGACCCTTTCATAATGTCACATATTGTTATGCAAGTTTATTATGTTCCTTATCCTTCATTTGTACCACGTAAACGAGGATGGTATGTTGTAATAAAAACAAAACCCCTGGGTCATATTGAAACTGGCGATCTAGTGGAAGATGCTGCTTACTAAGTTGATGAAGGTGAGCCAATTAATGATATGATTGCAGATGAACAAATTACAAGTTTCTCTGATACAATGGTTGAGGGACATCAAGTTGATGTGTCTATATCGTTGGTTGATAATAATGTGGACGAAGAGCATGATAAAGAGTTTGGATCCGAGGACAATATCACATCAGATGATGAGAATTATATGGATGACGAGCATGAAGATTTAGAATAATGAACTATTTATTGAATGTGTTAATGAATATTTATTGAATGTGTTAATGAATATGTATTGATGAGTATAAAGAATCATATATTGAATATGTTAATGAATATGTATTGAAGAGAATGTATTTTTCAAATCTAGTATTTTTGTTGATATATATATATATATATATATATATATATATATATATATATATATATATATATATATATATATATATTAACTGTGTATTCTATATAAATAGGTAAAATGCCACCTCGAATTGATAAGAGTAAGGATAGTTGTAAAAAGTCCCAACGCCCGAGGTTAGTAACATGTGAGGCACCTCAGTCGGCCACGTGCCCTCCCTGTAGAGTCAGGTCGATCCTATGTCCATGGCCAGTACTCAGCCTTTTGTGCCATTACTCTCTTCTCAGAATATGTTATTCTCATCTGGGACTTCTTCTTTTATTAGACCGTATGGGGTACCATCTTTTGTTAGGCCACCCGGTTTTCTTTTCCCACAGACCCAGATGCCCTCATCCTTCCAGCATATTGGAGGATCCCGTTTTCCATATCCCACACAGATGCCCTCATCCTTCCAGCATATTGGAGGATCTAGCACCCCACATCTCATACAAATGCCCTTATCTTTTCATCAGACTTAAGGATCCAGCACCCCACATTCCACATAGATTCCCTTATCCTTTCAGCAGACTGGAGGATCCAGCACCCCACATCCCACACAGACTGGAGGATCCCACACCCCACATCCCACACAGACTAGAGGATCCCTCACCCCACATCACACACATATACCTGCACGTGAGGATGATCATGCGTAGACGGATGATGATGATGATGATCATGTGGATGGGGATTATGGTATGTTAGATGGAAATGATCTTCGAGGGACTGATGATCCGAGTGAGATTCATGTCATTGACGGGAGATTTTGGATTTGGCCCGAAGGAAACTCGTAAGTTTCTTATTTATAAATTTTTTATTTAAGATAATGCATTTTCATTTTTAATATAAATTTATATTTAATATAATTAATTCAAATTATTGTTGTTTAGTTTCTCGCTGAGTCGGACTGTTGCCAAGGTTATAAATTATATAATTCAGCAGATGTATAAACAATTTTGGAAGACTTTCAAAGATGTCAAAAATAAAGAAGCTTGGTTTAACAAATTTAAGGTATAATTAATTTATTTATGTGAGACC